GGCGCTGAGCAGCTTGGCGCCGATGAAGGCGTACATGCGCGGCGTGACTTGGCGTGCTGGACACGGCGGGCGTGGTCAATGAGGTACGACTCGGCGCGGAGGGCCTTGAACTTCTGGAAGGTGCCCATGAGCGCCGAGAGGGCGTCCCAGATTGACCTCCGGGTCGCCACAACCATAGTGACACGCTGATCAAACGTCGGGTAAGGACCGAGTTCGCCACGTAGCCAAGCGAGGTGTCGATGAGATCACGGAGCGCAATGGCAGCATCGTACATGGTCGAGGCAGAAGGCAACGAGTCTTTGTCGGCCATGAGCAGGTAGTTGAAGAACAGATGGAAGCGGCCGGAGTTGTTCAACGCCCACGACGAGACACTCCGGGCAAGCTCGTCGCCCGAGAGTGGCTTGACAGGCTGGTGCGGATAGAACCCAACGACCAGCCGCGGGATCCAGTTGAGGCGAGTGGAGACGCCATGGTTAGGGGCGGTGAGGGCGATGACCTCGTTCCACGAGTCAATGACAGCAACGCTGTAGACCTTGTACTGCGGATTGGACAGCGTGAGTCGAGCAGGGTACGACCACTGGGTGCCAGCAGGAACAGCAACCGAGGCGCGAAGTGCATCAACAAAGTCGTCCTCGTAGAGCGGAACGACGGGCAGTCCCAGCGGAATGTCGACATGTTCAAACGGATCCGGACGAACGATGGCGAGCTCGGTGAGCGGGATGCGCGGACGAAAGTCGTTCAGCCCGGAAGGGACGATTGACCGTGAGTCACGAGCTGCCACGGTGACAGAATGAAACAACGTCCGTTGGACCGAGGTAGGTCGGTCGCAGACAACGGGCGATGACGCCCGGCGAGTCTGACCAACGGTCGGCCGGTGGGTGAGCTCGTTGGCGGCCGCGGCAGCAGCGGGTGGAGCGAAGACATCAAAGTCAAGCCCGTCAAGCTCGTCCCTGTGCACAGACGATGTAGAGGGCTGGTTGGTGCTCTGTAGGGCACTGGGGGAAGTGGAGGGGGACGCGGAGGTAGTGGCAGCCATAGGGGTCACAAGCCAAGTCTCAAAACAAAGAGAGGTATGGTGTGGAGTGACCGTTAATTGACTTGGTCGTCGACAGCGGTTGTGCTGATCAGCCAGGCTTTATGTCTGAGCTTGGGAGGACTTGGGAGGGATAAAGCCTGAAGCCTGGGGTTAATGTCTGCACTCGTCGAGGCATAGGCATAAAGCCTCTGCATACGGATGAAACTTAAGGGTCGAGACATAATGTCTCTGCACACGTCAAGCCATGAGGCATAAACCCCAGGCATAATGCCCCCGCACTCGTTTAAGGGTTAGGGTTAGGGTTAGGGTTAGGGTTAGGGTTAGGGTTAGGGTGAGGGTTAGG